GATTAAAAATAGAATTGGGAGGAAGAAGAACACACGATCAAACACCTCTCAATGAAAGCACCAATGATGAAGATCATGTGTTCGGCCTTTCGACAAGCCACGCGAGTGCCTTAAATCGAGATAGGGTCTCGAAGATCCGTGTCCACAGTCCTTCGAAACACGTAAAATTGCAATAGAATTCTAGGAAATCTAAGCAAAGTTTTGAACAATGTTCAGATTTTTTGTATTAAGAAGAATCAATTAATTCCTAAGTAACAACGCTTGCGCCTATTTATAAAGGCAAGAAATAAAGTTCTAAACCTACTATATTTAGGCTAAAAGTCCTACATAATCTAGAAGTATAATATAACAAGGAAATAAATAACTATCTATCATAATCTAGAACATTCTTGTCTTGAGCGCCAAGTAAGAAACCCTAGCCCCCATCCACATGCGTTTTGCCGAGTTCCTCAAGGACTAGGATGTTCGCAGGCACGCTCGCCCTTCGCGTCGCCTATTCTTTCCATTCTTAGGATCGTGCGCGCGTGAATCCCATCGTCCGCGCCCAGCTGCTTGCTCCCGCTGCCGAACATGTCGCGCGCGTCATCGTCCGCGCGTGCGCTTTCGTGAACGTATCGTGCCTCAGCATTCCGGCGACTTAGCCTCCGACGCGCATGGTACGCTTGACTTACTGCATTCTTGACTCGCCTAACTGTGTCCTCATCAGCGCGCTAGGACGCGCACGTGCAACAACGACAAGGCGCGCGATGCCTCGCGCGTTGAGGACTAGGAAAGCAGACGGGCGGCGCGCGCTAGAGGCGGTGACTTTGGGCGTGTGACTTGGGGCTGACTTGGAGAGCAAGCAAGAGGATTGGAGTGCAAGCAAAGTAATTAGGAGATCTAGTAGATTTAGGATTTTATGGTAGTAGAAGATATCAGAATTTAATATTTTATTGCTTTAATAAGTTCCCTAGTCAGATTAGGACTAGACTAAGTTAGGATCTATAAATAAGGATCATCCCTCATTGTTTTTAATGTCCAGAATTGATGAGTTGAATAGAAAAGAACGTTGTGTTCATTCATGTGTTTAAGCAAGGCCATGAGTGCGTGTTTATCATACAACCGTGTCTAAGAGAAGGCCCTGAAAGCGTCTATTAGGCACACCTATTGTGTTCAGTCGAAGGCCCTGACTGCGCGATTATCCACAACCAATAGACAGAAACCGTGATTCGTCATCATTGGTGCTTTCATTGAGAGTGTCCGATCAAGGTTTTTGTTTATCTATCTTTTTCTTTTTTTCGGTTTCACCTTTTGCTGAGGGGCTCTTATTTTTGTTCAAATTTTCCTTCTATTTTCTCTTCATTTTTGTGAGATCGAGTATCAAAAAATAAAAAGAAAGAAAGAAAGTTATGATGTCAAACCGTGAAAGAATCCAAGCATTGGAAGAAGGCTTGAGGACAATTGGCGATAGCCAACATGTCACCAATGAGAATCTGGGGAGAATCGAATTGATTGTACACGATTTAGCCGGACAACTTACACACATGAACACTCGACCAAGGAGGAGTCACGGGACAAGGACCCCCACGGCGTTGAGCGGCGAGGGAACAGAGCGCAAGGATGACGACGCGCGTTCACGTCGGACGTATGCATCGCACGCATCACGCACGCACCATCACCGTGAGGAACGACGACTGTAATAGCCCATTATGCTATTAATGTAAAGTACATGTTTAGTTCCGAAATATTTATTTTATCGATCATTATAATTCGAGACTAATTATTCACGTCGGGAATGTTTGAATTAATTTTCGAAGTCACTTTAATGCTCGGAATAATTTCTAAGTACTTAATTTCATGTACTATAAGTTAATCCATGTTTAATCACTTAATAAAATATTATCAAGCCTAATCATGCTTAATCATGCACTAATCGCCTAGCATTAGCAAGAAATCACATAATTTATGCGCATTCTAACCACGCTTAGCACTAATGTGCTTAAGCCGTGCGATCACCGCACACAAAGGTTAAGTGCCGAGAGGTTTACATCTCAAGTTAGTAGAAGTCTACCATCATCATTGCCATAGACATGTGGAGGTATAGTAGAGTCTTAAAGGATGACTAAGCCAAGAATTTTACACATAAGCTTCCCAATGGACGGCACGTGGCGAGAGCATATTGGACAAGTAAATTACTTCAAGTTTTCACCCAATTATACCTTAAGTTCATCCGTCTATTTATACTAAGAGTTGGGAGAATTTATCCCATACTTAAGCTATATCTTAAGCAAGTTAAGAGAGAGAACCGATAGTTTAAGAAAAAGAAGTTCATACATACGCACGTAAGCACGGACGAGCTAAAGACGAGGGAGCTTGGAAAATTTGTACAATTGATCGGGCAGTTGAGGAGGTAGTCTCTTCTTTACTCTATTCTAATTTTAGTATAAGTATGCTAAGTCCAAATCATGCAGTCAAGTTCGTAAATGCATCATATTTGCTCACAGTCGTACCATTTAAGTTATACCATGTCATGTTCATTTTTATTCAGCAACTACTGAGCGATTTATGTTTCCTTAGTCATTATTGGGTATATTATGGTCTGTCATGAAGCAATGGTCGAGAGAAATTGTTATGTGGTCGATGGATTGGTCGAAGCCGAGGGCTGCGCACATAGCGCACGCCACGACCGTTCATGTCTCATCAGTCGGATTGAGTTATATTTATGATCCTTTAAACACATTGCATGTATCTCTTCATGTAATAATAAGTTGTGTTGATTCATATGATAACTGTCTGAGGAAAATATCAAATGACCGAGTGGATCGGTTGTAGTGGTGGGTCGCGCATACGCGCACGCCACAAAGCCTTTCTAAATCATTTTAAGGTCCTGCTAAGCATTTTTCGATTAATTCATATAGTTATGATCATTTTCTATCAAGTCATGTTCTTCTATGTTAATGTTGTCGGATGAAGTAGCCAGACGGCCGGCAAGTGTCGGTCGTGGTTACGCTGCCCGCACACAGCGGCCACCGCGTATCGGCTGTCCGTCAGGGTCGGGCGAGTGATGCGCATAAGCCCAGTCGAGCATCGCAAGTAGTCTCTGCCCACGCCCGTCGTCAGTTAGCCAATGCCCTGCGCACGCCGGTGTGTCCCAACACACGCCTGTGCATTCCAGCGCACGCCATTCGGCCTCGGGTTGTGCGCGACAGCGCACTCGAACGCCTAGTACCGTCAGGGTCGCCCAGAAGCGCCCGTGCGGTACGAACTCATGTCAGCCAGCGCCAGTTTGCGCGTCCACGTGTTGTTGCCTATCGCGGTGCCCGGTAGCGCCCGACAGTGCCCAGTCGTGCAAGTGTCGGTGCCCACAGCGCCAGGCAGCGCCAATTAGCATGTCATGCGTCCAGTCGATCGTCGGTTATGCCTACAGCACTCGATGGCTATTCAATGAACACGCGCATTGCGCCAGGCGCACAAAAGTAACCGAGGTCGTGTCCAGTTGGCCTAGGCCAACGCCTGTCGTGCCCAGCAAGGTTCAAGTCACGCAGGCCGTACCCAGTGGCCGCCAGCGTGCACGAACATCCCTGTCTGCATCCAATCATGACCCGCGAGGCTCGGCCGTGCATTGGCCGAGCCAGTCCATGCCTGCGACCGCGCCCGAGGCCTAGCAGACCCAGCGCGGGACTGAGCCGGTTGACCGAGCCAGTGGCCAATTGCCCGGCCAAAGCAGTCCGGCGTTCTGGCCAGCCAGCAAAATGGCCGATTCAGACCAGTTTAGCACAGGTTTCAATATATAATGATCCGGTTCATGTTTATGTAAGGATTTCAGTTAAATTCTGGGTCCGGTCATGTTCAGTAATTTCATGTTAGTCCAGATCCATTTTAAACCGATTTCAGTTATACCGGTTAAGTCTAGATGTCATGTCAAGTTCAAGTCGAGCATCTTAACACATTAAACAACTATTTTAATCAGTCTGAGCATAGTACTTAGTATTTGTTTATAGTATGTTACAGTTTGAACAATTCACGATTATCGGCACTTCCAGTTTCGTATCGACAATTCAGGTGGGGACTCAGACTGGGTATTACATTGATTATAATTACTCGACCATGTTTGAGGTATGTATCATGTTATGTTATGTATCCGCTTGGAATGGTCGTCGGTCCATTCTGGGTTCTAGTGTCCTAGTCTGCCCACTAGAGTGTGCACATGGTGTCCCGCATTTTCATGCTGGCAGA